CATACTGGACTACTCAAAATTTAAGAGAAACAGCCCTTATTGGCAACAATTTTGAACAATGATCTGTCCTACAACCCAAGGCACTGTATAGGACACAAAAAGCCCTTCAGATGTCCAGAAATCCTAGAAGGTTTAGTGAAGAATCAGACACAGTTTTTTGGGTTTGTTTTGTTTTGTTATTTTGTTCTAAGGTTAAATTTACTAAGTATTTCATTCCAGTTACTTCAAATACCCCAAGATAGGTTAAACACAAAAAAGCATTAGCAATACATTAAGCTCTAGTGCCCAAAGTGAACACTGTATACTTATTAATGTCTGAATTTAAAAGAAGTTATCTCCACCAGAAGCATGTAGCAAAACACCAATTTAAGATGAAAAAGAAAAACCAATAAACTGAAGATGATTAATGCCAAGATAATTTTTACAAAAGTTTCAGAAAATGAACAAAATCAAGCAAAGATCAATGTATCTACCACCATACTAATAAACTAATATCATATATCTTTGGAACTAAGATTTTATGAAAATATAAAAAAATTAAATTTGAAAATCAACAGTTAAATATACAAATGTCATTATAGAAAAATCATATTTTCAAGTCACACATTACTTATGAATAAATTAAACAACAAATAGAGATAATTTGCCCTTAGTTATATGCATCAAACATTAAATCAGAAAAATGATATAAAAAGTTTCAAAAGATTAACCAGATAAGAATACTTGTTATACTTTAAAAGATCATATTTCTAAATAGATGTTGCATCACCAAGATTTCTTAAAAGGGTGGAGTGCAATAAAAAAATCTTATTTCATACACTATTAAAAACTTTCAAATGACTTTGAAACACATGTGAGAATGCTGAAATATGAAGTTATAGAAAGAATGACTGCTTTTGGTAAATGAAATCAGACTTTAAAGCGATGTATCCCAATATAATTTACTTCACACTTCAATGATTAAAACTGACGAAATGTTCATATTTTAAGACAATAAATGAATTAAGAGTAGCTATCAGGATCTACTGTTACCAGATAATCTGCAATACTGAATCATCTCATGAATGAAATGTATATCAGAGTCCCCTTGTCAGTCTCACCAAACTCAGATTCAAATTGTTATACTGCAATGATTGATTTGATTTAACCCATATAAAATAATCTATACAAGCAAACTTTATACTCAGTTATTAAAACTGAAAAAAGGGAAAATATAAACCTTGGAGAGTATATATATAACTATATATGTATGTCCTTCACCAACATATTATACCTGTAACTACTTGTTTTGATTAAAAGTACCTCACAACATGACTGGTCTCTGGATGCACCTCTCACAAGATTAAGCAAACCTGTTTAATGCATCACCTGGAGAGGCATTAATTCCTGAAGTTGCCATCGTGCCAGACTCTTCCCAGCTTTTCTCAGCAAAGAAAGCAGCCCAGCAGCCATGTTGAAGATGCTCCTTCATGCTCTAGCATAATGTGAGTTCTCTCCCTCCCATAATGCCTTATAAAGATCCCCAGAATGCATCAGATATTTTATCTAGGTCATAGGTTAGTATAATTGGGCTTCTATCTCTGTATGTTGAAATGCGGAGATCTAGGACTCAGTGTTACTGCCTACACACTTCCCATATATGGTGTAAAATTGTATGTCTGTTGCTCATTTTATATAATAGAAATACAATTGATTTTTAAATATGTATGTAGATTCGTTCAGTTGAGAATTGACTGCATATAACTTAATCCAAAGCTTTAAAGACCTCTGAAGAGAAATCTATTAGAAAGTGGCACCTACTGGCAAAGCATGATATTACAATCAAAGCTTATCAAACATGGAAAGGGGAGACAAGGCTGTCAAAGGGAGTAAGATCGCACAACGATAATGTGTCCAAGTTCTACAGTGGCGGCTAAGGAGCAACTGTACACAGAAACTAAGTGCACAAAGCCTTGCTGCAAAAAATAAATTACCTATTGTATGACTGTAACCCTTTCAATTTGTCTATAAAGCCTTTAGTTTACTGGGAGCATTTTCTCTATTGGAACCCATTTATGATTTTATCATATGTTAACCAAAAGTAACAGCTGCAGAAGGGAATTTTCAAGTTACAGTAACAGTGACTGTTTTTATCAAGGAAGGAATGTCTGAATCTATTGTGGACTATATATCTATCTCCCGTCATCTTACATATTCATTATAATAAAGTATTACAACTGAAGAATACCTGTCAACTGTGAGTTTAAGTTCCAAACACCCCAAATCCTGTAATCAGCAGGCTTTCCCACAGGAATATCTTTGTGTTACAGGTAGAATTTTGCAACTAGGTCCTTTTTTAAAAACTGCATGACTTGCCCTCCCTGTTTGTTAGAGGAGGAGGCAGTTTAATAGGATGGTGCTTAGCCAATGTTGTTTCCTAGTACTTTATACTGATAAACTTATGCAACATAGTCTTAATCTATTACTTATGAAATGGCCAAAAAGTCACTACAGTTCAGCTCCCTAACTACCCTAACGTAAAAGTATATTGTAATATACAGTATTTAAAAAAGAGATCCCTCTGTTCTTCAGTACCAAAAAAGAACTTAAACACTGATAAATCTGTTGAAGATTGAAATCGCATGGCCAATCTATGCTAGTAAAGAAGAGGACACATATTTCAAATATAGCAGATAATCCCCAAATGGAATTTTTATCCCTAATGATTTATTATGGGTGTTTCTAATATTTCAAAAATTAATAATATATTCTTAACAGAAAAAAGGAAACTACACCAAATCAAATACATGAAGCCATGGAAAAGCACTCTAAAGTTAACATCTATCTCCATGTTAAGGTTGGAAATGAATCCCATGCTCTTCTTTCTCCTTACATTCATGTGCTTGACCTGGCTCATGTTTCACCAAGGTAAGTGAGGCAAAGGCAATAAGGAAACTATTTATACTTTAAAACCTATTCTGAGATAGCTGGGCAAAGGTATGACAATTGATGGAGAACCTCCAAAGAGCCACAGGGAACATCTGTAAACTCCTAAACATAACCAGCCAGGGGTTCTGCCAATGCTTTGAAATCTCTACTCTTCGCCTTTAGGAGTATTTGGTCTACCTAAGTCTAAATTGGAGACACCTGGATTGGCCAAGCCTAATTGCTGCAGGACCAGCTGCTATAAATATGCATCTGAGTGTGTAGATGTGTATGCACAAGAGAGAAAACAGTACTCTCTGTGGGGAAATAACTATAGAAGTTTGATAAATGGATCCTCACAATGGCATCAGTCTTTGTCAGCTTTCCAAAGGAAATGCTAACCTTATTGATCTGCTACTACTTTATCAGTCATGGGGTAGTATGTAACCTAAAGAAGCTGAATTCAGAGACAGAAAATTCTGGCTTGTTTATGAAAATCAATGGCTATATTTAATAATCTTCTAATGCAAACTAACGCGTGGTCATTATCACTTAGCTATGTAAGAACATAAAGTCTTTTGGATTTATTTATGCTTGAAAATCAGAAAGTTACTAGCAAAGAAGAACTACTCCATCTCCTGTTTCAAGTTCATAACCTATTACAATAAAATCAATCCTCAAAAGACCAGAACGACTAGAGAGGCCACCTCAGAGCTGCTGAGCTGACAAACCAGAAACAAATTAACTTCTCAATGATTGCTTCCTCATATGTAAAATGAGGAACCTGGAGTCAGATTTTAATATATCAAATGCCAGTTAATTTTTTTTAAGGATAATGAGGATAATTACACAGAGCTGATAATTTGTTGCCAGATATGGACATAAAAAATACCTCTACCATTTACATTTTACAAAATGAAGAACATGTGTAACTCTCTAAATTGAGAACGATATATCCTGTACACTGAAAATATTTAGCTTTAAAAAATAAAAACAAAGGGGTCTGGAGAGATGGCTCAGTGGTTAAGAGCCCTGGCTGCTCTTCCTGAGGTTCTGAGTTTGGTTCCCAGCACCCACGTGGCAGCTAACGGTCCACAGCTCCAATTCCAGGGGATCCTATGCCCTCTTCTAACCTTCACAGGCATTGTACTACACAAGTGCATCTACATACATCCAGAAAATACATTCATATACAAAAAATAAAACAATATATTAGAATATTTTAAAATAAATTTTAAAAAAGGGCTAGAGAGATGACTTAGAGGTTCAGAGCACCGGCTGCTCTTGCAGAGGACAAGGGTTCGATTCCCAGTACCTACATGGTGGCTAACAACTGTCTGTAACTCCAGTTCCAGGGGATCCGACACCCTCTTATGCCCTCCATAGGCATTGCATGACACGGGTGTGCTTAAATATATGCAGGCCTAACACTCATATGGATAAAACAAAAAATGAAATAAAAAACCAAAAACACATGACTTTTTTTCAAAACTTCAGAGTAGACTAGAAAAAGTCCATTAGCCAACAATGATCTAAAAATCAAAATTAGGGAACCACTGGACGAGGTATTTTTCAAGATCTAAAACTCAAGCACTATGATGTAAAGCGCTCTTTTACTCCACATCATAGTCCAGAGGAAGACCTCAGTAAAGAATAGTACTGATACTTAAAGTTATATGCATCAGAAATAGACTTAAATCTATTTCAAAAATAGCCAGGAAACTAAAATAAACTTCAATTTGTGAGGCATGCATAAATTGCTACAGTGCATTACTGTGTACTTGCTATTAAGCTCATTTAACAGACCAGGAAGCTATCTAGTTTGCCAAAGATGTAGAGTTTGTAGGACCCAGCAATCAGAGTTGAATTCTAATCGCTGACTCCATTTTTGGTATGACTCAAAGAAAGGATTTAATTATACTTTTCCTTTTATAAATGAGTGACAAATTGTTGCAATTCTAGAAGTTGCACAGACTAAAAAGGTTTTCCCATTTTATTTTCCAAATATTGTCTTTTAACTTTAGTATGGTCCCTTAACAGCCTCAAAATGAAGGGTATAACTATATATTTACAAGTTTTGAAGGACACATACTTACAGATTTCCTCTTTTTAAGAACAGGTATATCTTCTGTGATTTAAATCTGCAGTAAGAGACAACATTTATGAGTATAGTGACATGGGAAATGAACTCCAACAAAAGAAAAACAAGTGATGTTTCACATTTTCTGTGTAGCTTAGCTCATGACAAGTCACTTACCAAGGCAAGGAAAGAAACTACTAAAGATGAGTTGCTCAAAGATGAGTGCCTGATTAGAAATACTGTCATTATGATTTCAGGGATGTTAACTGACCCAGACTCAATGACACAGTTGTCCAAAGTATGAGAAACTGACCACAGAGAGAAGTCATGTTCTTCATTGTTTCTTTGTACTTTGATTTCTTCATTGTCAAAACTAATCCAACATAAAGACTGACAATATCATACTACAGGAAACTAGTCAATGTGCCAAGCAGCATCTCTACTTTCAAATGTCTGAGTATCTAGTAACTTTCCAATTTGAATCAAAAATAAACATTTTCCTTCATAACAATGCAAGGTTCTTCCAAAAATGAATACAACACTGGTCTAAGTAGACACCCAAACTTTTTCCTCAATTCATAAACATTCTATGCAGCAGTATTCAGTACTACTTACATAGTATTATGAGAATAACCCTTCAAGGTTTTTTCTTGTTTTTGATTTTGAATCTAGATATCCCCATGCTCATAAGAACAAATATCTGCGTAACTATCTCACCAATCTGACTAGCTGGCAGGAACTGGAAACTTTAGTTTTTTGCTTTGTACTACTAGAAGTGCAAATAAATATTTTAGCCAGACCTACCACTAACAGATTCAGCCTTTTGCTATATTTACTAGAACTTTTTTGTACCTTCAAGGTAATATCTACGACCTACTTTTGGGGAGAGAATCTCAGTATAGATCTAAACATAAAGGTCTGACTACCAACAGGTCATGCTACCTGAGATTTTACTATTTTTTCTCCCATTTGTTATTAACACAGGGCAGGGGAGCAATATATACACATATTAAAATCCAAAGAGCTCACAAAGTAACTGTTGTATAAGAAAAACTTCATAGTTGTGTATACAAATCACATAGCTTTCCTATAGAAAATTCGCATAACTGAATATGATAAAAATCACCCAACCATAAAATCATTTAAAGATCGGTAGGTGGCAGAAAGATGTAGGAGGAAGGGGTAGGGAGATACAGAACTATTCACTAGTGTGCATAATTTGGAAAATTAGCTACCTGAGAGTTCGAGCTTTCATCTTTACTCAGCTCCAATCTCTAGTCCAAACTCAGCTGGCAGAAAATACTCTTCAATACAAAATAAAATAAAATACTTCAATGCCTAAAATCTCAAAAGCCCTTTCTTTCATTATAGGAAAAGGGAGTTGAAAGCGTAACTCAGTGGTAGTGCCTGTGGCCTTGGGTTTGATCCCTAGTACCAAAAAATAAAATAAAATAAAAAATGAAAGCAAGCAATGACTTCCCAGAAAAGGAAAGCAAATTACATTTTCTAATCTAGCCAAACAATTTCTTACACAACAAATAATCTTGAACTCTCCTCTCTTCTCTCCTAGCCTCCCCTACAAAACAGCACCCTCTCTAGTCATGCTATTAAAATAAATGGAAGAAATAATTTAATATAGAGGACCTAAGCAGATCTAAGCAGGTCTATTTTGAGATGATCAGGCACAGGGATGAATTTGCTAAAATTATAGATCAAACTTCACTCAGATTTTTTTTACTTTCATGGATAGGCAAGGTTTTTTTTTAATATAAGGAAGTTATAATGTCTTTAAATGAATTAGCTTAGCAAAATTTTAACACACTGAAGCATATGATTTGTTTCTACTTAACATTACCATGGTAATGTGAAAAAATACAGTAACAAAAGTTACCAGTTACAGAAAATAGAACTAAGAAATTCAAACTCACCAAATAGAAGGGAGAGAAACAATGTCCACACAGCTAACAAAAGAGTAACACATGACATTTAAAAAATTCCAAAGTGTTCCAAGGCAGTATAGCTAAACTTCAGATAACCCTCATATTTGGGAACAGAGTTAACAAACCATTAAATGTCTGGTTTAGACCCTCTCTGTAAGCAAGTTAGTCTGTTAGCCAATAATTTGAAAACATTTTAAAATTCAATACTAAATTTATGATAGCATGTTTCAAACGTGATGAATTGCCCTCCTGTATTTAATGTCTCACGCATCAATGTTAAGTTGAAAATGGGGTGGTTCAAAAGTGTGAAAAATGACTAAGGAATTCAGCATATTATGTTCAAATCTAAAGTAAATTCTAGCTAGTCCAATTCAAAACAATTTCCTAAGCGATAATGGTGTTTTATGCATCTTATTTTAGGGAACTATATAAAAATATGTTGATAAGTACTTGTAAATGAAAAACTCCTATACTAGAAGGAAGTTTAAAGAGTTTAAAAATATTGATGTCATAAAATAATACAAGCCCAAAGCAGCATATATGGCTCCTAGAGAGATGCACGTGTTTTAAATTTTACATGTTTAAATTTAACAATATGCAGACCAAATATTAAGTCTATTTAAATATTTTATGCTTTTTGTGTTTTTACGATGATTTACTAATCTCCAAAATTTCCACAAATAACTATATACTTGTGTGCTGGAGAGATGGCTCAGTGTTTAAGAAAGAGCTGCTGTTGCAAAGGACCCAAGTTCAGTTCCCATCACCCATGCTGGGTGACTCACAATCACCTGTAACTCCAGCTCCAGGGGAATCCACTGCCTCCGGCCTCTGCGGGTACCTGCTCTCATGGGCATAAACCCACCTGCAGACATAGACACACATAAGCATAATATAAAAAGTAATAAAAATAAATCTTTGAGAGGGTCTCACTATGTAACCCAGGCTGGCCTGGAACTCACATATATCCACCAGCCTCTCCCTCCTGAGTGCTAAGACTAAAGGCATGTACCACCATGCCCCACTAATAAAAATAAATCTTAAAAAAGGAAATGAATACTTAAAATTGATTGTAATAAAAAAAGAAACAAGAAAATAATTCAGTTAAAATAGGACAACATAATTGCCCTAAGCCAAACTACTGCTCAGACTTTAAAATATAAAGACTCTTTTCTTTCCCTGAAAGAGTATTTGTGTGTGTCCCAGGGGGCTAAAAATGATCCTGGGGTTTTACGTCACATATTTTTAAAAAGATTAAAACAAGTACATCTTTCCAAAAGTCTATCTACTGCCATCATAGACTAGAGTGGTACTTGATAGAAAAATTAGATGACTTTAAAATTTTTTAAACACAAAATATATTAAATAAAGTAAAAGTAAACTGGGGACTGGGGACATGGCTTAGTGGTAGAGTGCTTGCCTAGCATGAGTGAGGTTCTGGATTTGATACTGAGTACTGCCAAAAAATAATAGTCCTTCTATATGATCATGTAGAGAAATAAGTGACTCTAATTTCGGTAGGCAAATGTGAAGTCTTTTTTCTATGCATATTCTAGTACAAACACACAATTTTTAAGCAAACACTGAGTCATTCTATTTATACACTTTATCAACTTGCATTTAAAAAAAATCTAACTCTTCCACATATCTCCATGCCACCACATTCAGATGCATCTTTAAACATTTCTATGATCTTCCAATGTATGTCCATATCACAGTACATATTTTCCATTGATGGACATTTGGACTCGTCTAATTTCTTGCTTTTAGAATCAGAGCATGGACATTTCTATCAACACATTTATGCCACTGCTACTATAGGATATATTTCTAACAGAACTGGTGAGTCAGCATATGATCATTTTAGATATTTAGGCTATTAAAAATTTGTCCTTGAGAGCCCAGTGCACAGGCACACACCTATAATTCTTGTACTAGGGAAGCAAAAGCAGGAAGATTGTCACCAGTTTGAAGTAGCCTGGGTGACACAGTAGAACCCTGTCTGGAAAAATGTTGCCCTTCAGGCCCAGAAGCAGTGACACCCTAGTGGCAATGAGCAGTGGCCAAATCTTGGGTTTCCAAATTATTTTCTCCAATAAAGGGGACCAGGTTCTTTGGAGTAGTTGATTGTAGGCCCAGGGTTGGAAATATGAAACATGAGCTGGTGCTGTTTTCAGAAATTAATGAAAGTGTTAAATATATGTATATGTGTTTCCATATATATATATATATATA